TTTTAATGCCAAATAATTTTAAGGAAAAGGGTAGAGCTCTTCCGTCCTGGATTTCAAAATTCACACTTAACTTGATTCACTTTATCAGCAATTAAAAACATTGTAACAATTAAACAAAAATTTAGATCAGTGTCTACAAATGAAATATAGGATTATCTGAGTTTCCTAACCAGAGGTATATAAAAGTTTCCCCAATTATATTAGAAATCTAAGAATGTCTTAAGTTTTCTAGGAATAAAATATAGTCCTACAATACAGGACATTTTGAGATCTTAAGACTTTAAAAAAAATTCTTGTCTCCTACAGTGGGGTTTGTAAAGTCTAATTTTTATGTACTTGTGTTTCATTGAAACTTGCGAGACTCAAGATTTTTTAAGTAGCATGACTTCTTGGGTAAAAAACTCAACTGTTTTCCTTGATGATAGTTCAAAACAAAAGATTTACTTGGAAAAATGAATATTTTGACCATTTTAATGTGCACCCTTGTGTAATTATAACATGGTGTTCACCTTTTTTCTAGGCTCTCAAGAACCTGTTTATAGGTAATCATGACAAGTCTGTTAAAGAAAAACTCTACTTGATTCACCCATTAATCTGATAGCATAAATAACCAGAAAGGAAATCCAAAACCAATATCCCTAACATTTTATACTTCTGGGATATTCCCCAGGGTGCAGCTTACACACAATGCTGGGCCCACAGTGATCTAGGGCATGACTGACTACCTAAAAAAACAGATGGTTTCAAAAGTAAATGAAATCACATAGTTAAAATACACTTAGACATCAGCCAGATGTCAAAGGGGGAATCAATTTGAATGGTTTCCAACGTGATTACATGACAAATTAATTTCCTTTTTTTTTGAAATGTAGCAAATGAACAACTGATTCCTTCACTTCTCTTAACAAATGTGGCGATTTATGTAATTGATATTCTGTCCTAGGTTTGCAAGAAATGTTTTAAGTAGTTATTTCTTCCAAATCACACGTCAAAATATTGTTTTCATGAGTATATCCAGCTAAGTTTAAGACAATGCTCATTTTAAATTAGATGCTAGTTGGTGAAACTAAATTATAACTCTCAACATCTCAACAAAACCAGAAAGTTTTGAGGGACTATGACCAGTTACTACAGGAACTGAAAACACAAAATCCACCTTCTCCACCCCAGTTCCCTCCACCCACCCCCCACCGACCCCCACCTCCAGCCCTTTTTAAAAATAAGCTTGTAACTGCTGAAGAAATAATTCTGTGGAGTCCAAATACACATTCCCCTTTCACGTGAAACAACATTTGGTTGGTTAAAACCAAGTGTGAGTTGCATGTAATAGAAATCCTGCTTCAACCAAAAAAAAAAAAAAAAAAGCAAATGCAGGGATTCCAAATAGTAAACTACTAATTGTGCTGATTAAAAAAATCTTTTTGGATTCTCATCCAAAGCCATCCAGGAGCTCACAAGTATAGTTCCAAGCTCTGGACCTTGTATCTCACTTTTTCTATGGAAGTTAAGAAAATTCCCATTCCTGTTGGCCTTATAACATAAATGTATTTTATTGGACAGTAGTCATGTAAAACTGTAACTTCCTATGTATCTCTAAAGGCTGGGAGGTACTGACAGATACAGATCTGAGGGTTTACAAAAACTGTCTCAGGTCTGTGCCGGCCCTACGCACACTTAGGACCGAGTGTGGCAATTCTAAAGTGCTGTCCGGGACCACGCGTGCTCCGTCCATCCACCAGCAGTGTTTCTCACCCTGACACGCCTGAGACCATCACAAAGTGGGGACGATCACAAAAGTGAGGGTCTGGAGTCCTTGTAACTGCATTTTCAAAGTAAAACTCTGAGAATTAAAAGTTGGGAACATCTGAGCTCTCCCAGCAACAAAAAGGACCCGTGGAGCCAATCTCGAAAGATCGAATGCCTGCTAATTGGATTGCCTAGAATTCCAAGTTGTTAGCCAAGCACTCTTCCGAGTGAAGACATCCGGTCTCCTCAGCCTTCCACTTACACCAGAACACAGAATAGGTTGGACCGGCCAACTCAGGGTAAGATCACCCGCGAGAGGGACTCAGCGTGTGTGTGAATGAGCAGCTGTTGTAGGCGGTATGATGAAAAGCCTAGACTGCCCCTTGAAGTTTTATAGATTCACCCACTCTTGATCTAGGTTGTAGAAAACGGGTCACATTTTAAAAATGTGCATGAGGCCCTTAAGTGACCAGAAGCCAAGATGACTGCACATCTCTGTTGGCGTTAATAAGGCATTCTAGTAACTTCGTAAGCCCCGGATAGAACGGATATGAAAAACGAGGGCACCAGGTACATACACACTTAGGATCTATGGGGTAGATAGATCACAATGAAAAGAACACACGCGGAATTCTCAGTTCATATAATTTATTGCAGTTAGCACACAGTTTAAAAATTCACCAACACACCAATAGTACAAAACTAAACAGCATTATAAGTTATTCCCCCCTCAGGAAAATAAAACATACTATGATTGTCAAAGCTAGATGTCAGTCTAAGTTTTAGAACGAAGGAAGAATGTGAAACTAATAAAAGGGAAAAGCAATCACTCACAATGACCACAAAAAGAAAATCCAAAAGAAAGTCCGTTTTCTCAGACATTGATTGTCTCCTCTAAATTAATAAAAATTATTTTAACATAAACTGTATTTAAAAAAAAAAAAAA